TGGCCAATGTTTTGTGTCTCACAGAAACAAAGCTATAAGGCTGCAGCTGCATGGTTAAAAATTTATAAAATGAAACCGACACTTGTCTTATTCACAAGTGACCAATAGGCGTGATGTGCTGTTGCTGCCTATGTCAGAAACCACATTCAAATGTATGAAAAACTGTCCTGCGGAGAAAGCTCATTTCGGCCGCCTGTATCCGGGATCTTGCCCTTTCGGTCATGACCCAAAGTTCATGACCATAGGTCATAGCTAGCCATCATTCCTGTCAAACCTGTGAAGCCTATTGGATGGATTTGAGATCGATTGGATTGCCACCCTGTCATTGGAGCTGTTTACCTGTAAGGGATTTTTGGAAAAATTATTGGCAATATGTTTACTAAGGGCCAGTAAACACCCAGAGACCTAAAGTGAAATTATTATATGTCTTGTATGTATACTGAATAAACAGTAGAAGTGGAATAGTTAGTGCATGTTCCCTACTGAATGCATGTATCAAGCTTACACTGTGTGCTGTTACATGCAGTTTTCATGAGCAGTCAGATTGCAGATCTGCAGAAGGGTTTGCAATCACACCCCATTCTACGACACAGAACTTACCACGACTGTTAAGTCAGAATGTATAAGCTCATTTCATCATAAGTATAAGTAAATTAGACCATATAGCCCAGCTCTGGCCTGTCCTCACTGGCTTCCAGTTTGTTTTCAAATTGCTACAGACCTGACAGCTTTGTATTCATAGCTTAAGACATTCATTCATTCATTTATTTACATTGGCTTTTAATATATAGTACAGTGGTATGGATCTATTGCATAACTTTTCTCACATCAACAAGTTGCATACGCATCCACACAATAAAGAACTGGATAACATAGTGTGGATGCTTATGCATCCACACAATAATAGGATAACATAGTATGGATGCTGAATCAGCATCCATACAATAAATAATTGGATAACATAGTATAAATGCTGAATCAGCATCCATACAATAATAAAGAAGAAGATAACATGATTGTGGATGCGAGCATCCACACTAATAAAGAAGAAGATAAGAGTGTGGATGCTTACACTCTTATCTTCTGCTTTATTAGTGTGGATGCGAGCATCCACCCTAATAA